GCTTTTGCATCGGGTTTTCGGGCAGGGGGGGGGGAAGTTGGCCTTCCTTGCAACCCCCCCTCCCCTTTTATTTTGAATAAGGGCCCCTTGCTCTGACCTGGTCCTGTGACGTCATAAGGCAAGAAAGTCCTGCTCCGTCATCACCCCCCCTTCCCTCCCCCCCCTCCCCAGGCAGTGCAGAGATGGAGAAGCCTCAAATGGGTCAAAATGTGAATGTGCATTTAGAGCCCTTGAAACAGGACCAAGTGGCCATTGGAGATCAATCCGGATGGTGGGTTTGCAGGGATGCCGGCCAGAAATGCTGCCCTTTTTTTAAGCCAGGAAGGAAAACTGGTATTTATGGTCAGGCATTAGAACGGCGCATCTTCATCTTCCTGCAGCTTTTCACCAATTTTATTTTTAATTTTTTTTTTGCTGGGGAGCCATTCCTAGCTCAACCCAATCTCATGCTTAATCTCTGCCTTGTGTGCAAAGAATTTCTCTTTCTCTCTTTTTTTTGGGGGGGGGGAGGGGGAGGGGGTAGAAACGTTGTGGGTGCCTTTAGCAGAGAATGATCCCCCCTGACCCAATTGAGAGGCGGCTGAGCTTGGAGTTGGATTCCAATTCAGCTTTGCCTCCCTGGGTGTCAAAGCCATTTCTCAGCCTTACTTTCCCCGCCTGCGAAGGAAAAGTGTTGTGGAGCTGATCACAGAGAGATAAACCATAACCCTGGGAGAAAGAAAAAAAATAGCAGCCAGGGATGGGAGTTGTGTGTGTGTGTGTGTGTTGTGATTTTAATATTCCCTTGCAAGGCAAAATGACCTCTAAATTTAGTTTTGTATTGATAAAATAAAGGTTAGGGCAGAGAGGTGAGTTTTTATCCTTTAGTGCAGGGGTCTCTCCAACCTTGGCTATTTTCAGCCTGGAGGAGCAAAGCTGGCTGGGGAATTTTGGGAGTTGAAGCCCGCCAGGCTTAAAGTTGCCAAGGTTGGAGACCCCTGTTTTAGTGGGAAGGTGAGAACAATTGAACTTAAATAACATATTCGCAGACTGCTTATAAGGCCTTGTTGCCAATAGGTAAAGCGTATAATGCACCTTAAGGCTCTAATTGTCTTATCAATTTCATACCTTAAAATAGTCACCCTGAAACTCTATATTATGGGGCAGATGTTCTAAGACATTATTTCTCAACCTTGGTGACTTGAAGGTGGGTGGAACTCAACTCCCAGAATCCTGGCTGGGCCTTCAAGTCTCCAAGGTTGAAGAGAGATACAATAATTCCCCACAAATTGCCATTTTTGAGAGTGCACAAGGGGTTGAAGTTGGTCTCTAGCTCAGGTACATTAAAAAAAAAAAAGATTCTTTTTTAGGGAATTGCCAAAACCTACCAGGAGCATCATTTCAACTCTTCCTGATTTGGCAACCTAAGCTCATTTTCAAATAACAAATCCATGCATCGTTTTTTGGGAAGGGAAACCTTTGTGTCTTGTTTGTCCTGACTCAAAACAGTAGACGTGAGGCCTTTATTTTCCCACTGACCAATGTGTGTGTGTATGCTTTTATACATGACTTCTTGGCAATAAGGAGGCAGGCCCGATCTTTTGATAGGGCTTGATTTATGCTTGTCATATTGATTAAGTCTTCCTTCCCAAAAAATATAATTGCAAGGGTTGCTAATGGTATGGAAAACCCTGTAAGATTTTCCGTCCATCTTCCTCCTTCCCCGCTAGCTGTTTTCCATTCCCTTAACAGTCAGCATTTGCAGGCAGCTAAGTACAATTTGTCCTTCCAGACCAAAGATTCCCTTCCATTTTTTAAAGATAGCTAAAAATACTTCCACACATGCCTTTTGCAAATCTTGAAGTTGACCTGCTGAAATTTCCAAGTTTTTGCATGGATGTTATCCTTCTGGCTGCCTAAGCAAGGATACGGGCCGGTCATCAGACACAGAAAAGGTGATGAATCCAAGAAATATTTGCTAATGTGCTTCTCTCTTCCATGATATGTGATCACGCTGCAGTCTGGAAAAAAAACCAAAAGTTTGTGCCTTTTCAAATAATGCTTACCTTAGGACCTTTGTGCATGCGAGCATTCATCACTCTCTGTCGGTGCGCTTATATAATCGCTTTGCTGGTAAATTTCAGATTATCCAAGGGTTTTAAGGTGTCCCCCAGTCATACTGATAAATTAGGAATTATTAGCGTTGCAACCTCATGCCTGCTTAGTTGGGAATTAAATCTCCTTGAATCCTGTGTATTATGCTTACCAATGTCTGGTTAATCAGTTATTTCGGAAATATATTAGACAAGCATGGTCATCACCTAAAGAGAAAAGAAATAGGAAAGTTTCATTTTCTGGTTATAATTAATACCCCATAAAAAAAGAACTTCTTTGGGATAGTTTGGATAAGAGCTAATGACATTTTGGGGAACACGATTGGGAAGTATTTTAAATTCTGTTTAGCCTCCAATCCCTAATGAAACGCAGCCCTGAAATAATTGCAGGAAACAGTAGTTTAAATTGGTCAGGTCTAAAGGAAGCACCACAGCTATGAATGTTTAATGTCTTGGCCACAGGATGTGTTTCATGTCAAAGGTTTCAGTAGCACAATCGTTAGATCCGAAGCATGCCAGAGAGAGTTCAGTTGCTTCTTTGTAGGTAAACAGCTCTGTGGGATGGTATTTCACATCGCCAGGCTCCAAATTTATGTCCATAAAATGATTGTATTGTTTTCCTGAGGAATTTAACTTTTCAATGCTGAGGCCAAAATAAATCCAAAGTGGTCAAGGAAAGGTAGGATAATTTTATTCTTTTAACCATGAATCTTTTTTCTTCTTCTTTTTGGTCCCTGCATATACATATTTATGGCTGTTTTATACCATCTATCTGTGCAAATAAGAGGACCAGCTATTAACATTGCAGAGCCGAATCTGTCTCTCTATAAAACGAAATGAACTCTGATGATGGCAGCAGTTTCCTTGCCCTCTATTGCCGTTCAAGATTCTGACAAAAAAGCAGCAGAAATTGTCTCTCTAATTCCTCCCTATTTGATCCTTTCCGAGGATTTTTTCTCTCTGTCGCATTCATTTTGAAATAGTCGACATTTAAACCAGTTAACCTGTGTTTGCTTTGGCAGCACCTGTTTCAGAAGGCTAATGCAAATAACCTTCTGATAGCAAATACTGTATTTTTCAGACTAGGAAAGCCAATAATAAATAATGCTTCAATTAAAGCTCCAATAACACCCCAGCAGAAATTGAATGAGACAGTGATGCTCAAATGGACATTTGTTGGATATTATTTATTGGGGCTATTCAATAAAGTGCCTTGTTTCATTTCCTTGCACTGAGTGCTCTTGAACGATAAAAGAAAATGGTCATCTGTGCATGTAAACCAGGGTTTTTCAGTTTTTGGTAGTTTTGAGAAGTGTAGGATTCAACTCCCAGAATTCCCCAGCCAGGGGATTCTGGGAATTGAAGTCCATACATCTTAAGATTACAGAGGTTGAAAAGTTATATATCCATATAACTTCCCAGATGACTTCTCCTTAAGTATTAGATATTAGATCTTGCTGGACAGATATAAACTAAGTAACAGTATTATATAGTAATGTATATATAGGTAATTTATATATAGGATAATGTGTCTGTTCCCTGTCCAGCCTCAGTTGAGTAGCTGTGATGTAGAGCACCTGAGTTCACATCCCATTCCTACCATCAATGGGTCCAGATTTCTTCTTCCAGGCCCAGAAGAGGCCCTTCTGGACAGTATGATGGACTATTCTAGAAGACTAGTTTATGGCTGAGCAGCATCAGAGCTTAAAAGCGTTTCCAGGCTGATTTAAGGTTTGCTAAACAAGCAGTTTTGGTCTTCGGAGTTTTCTGAGTCAACCTTCTTGAAATCCCACACGCCAGAATTATAAATGGTTGGTTGATATGTGGTGAAGTGGAATACAAGTATACCTGATGCTGAAAATAATTAAAATTAGGGCTGTATTTTGCCCAAGTCTCCATTTTAATCAGATTTAATCAGATGTTGATCTATATTTTTAATCCTATTGGCTTTAAAAGCTGGTGATCCAGCACCGTGTTTTCTAACTGTAACCATGTTAAGATGGGTGGACTTCAACTCCCAGAATTTCCCAGCCAGCATGCTTTAAGAGAGGTGGACAGCTGACAGGGGTATTCTGGGAGTTGAAGTCCACCCATCTTAAAATGGCTTCAGTTGGAAAACACGGTGCTAGCAGAATAGCTTACCCAAGTATTTTCTTTATGAAGGAAAACTCTGCATTTTGTGTGGTGATGTCCAAGTAGTAACACATGGAAGGAGTCAATAAAATAGATTACGCTGGGTTTCCATTCTCCAAGTAGGGGCATTTGGATATCATTCTAAAGCAGACGTTTTAAAAGACAATATGTAGTTGAATCTAGACAAACTTCTGTTGTTCTTGATACCAACATTTCCAATTATATTTTGATTTTCTGAGTCTCCTCGGAGGAAGACATCAAACGCTGAGAGTTGTTTTCTTTTGCATGCATATTTGCTGCTGGATAACCTAGATTTTTGGAGGAGTTCATAATTTCTGAACATTATTTATGAGATGATTCCAGGTGTAAAAATTGATGACGGACATTTTAGGTCA